GTCAGGTGAGACATAATGAAAATGACTCCTTGTATTGCCTTCTTGGAGGTAGGGAAGGAAATTTTGCATTTGCCTAATAAAGTATTGTTGAATTAATTTTGCTTTATTTAAACTCAGATGCTAGGTGTCGAATCTCCCAGGAGGGTTGAGACACAAGTCCCGTCTTCCAGAATGAAGTGCTGGTTACGCAGGTGGATTCCGGTTCCAGCTCTGCCCACCCAGCCTGTTGCTAGCGGCAGGACATCAGGCAAGTTCTTCAACCTCTCAGACCCAATCCCTCATTTGAAAAGTGGGGATTCAAACATTGCACCTGATTTCAAGGGCGGCCATGAGGGCCAAGTAAGATCACAGATGCGAAGCTCCTGGCACATCGCCAAACCCCCAGTAAGCCCGCAATGAAGGCTGGCAATGATTGTCATTAATTATTCAAACAATTATTCCGGTAGAACACAGTGCACGGAAAGCGGTGTGATCAAAGGGCCACGGGGCACAGTGGCGGGCACAGTCAGCCCTTTGTTTGTGGGGTTGCTGCCCGGAGCCAAGATCCAGGCCCAGCCTGCCATATATATTTTGGGGCTGCTGTCATGTTTTAAAGATTTTGAAACTCGGCTCTTTTGGTCAGGCAGTCACCCCACCACTCCTTAATGAGTCAAACCAGTTTGTTTGGGACATCCCCGTTTCTTGGTTCTGTGCCCCACTGTGGAAGATGCGCTTTGATCCAGAACGTAAAGGTTGGTTCTGAAGTAGCCAGACTGAGAGCAAAAGGGCGGGGGTGGGGTGGGGGATTTCTCGTTTATTACCTCAAAATATACAAACGTATCAGATGACTGGGGTCACTTTCTTCCACACTTCTTTTGTAAAATGTGTTTTTCTGTAGTGAATACCTCATGCAGGCATGTGGCAAAACATTCCTGTAGAGTGAAAGACGAATGTCCTATGTCTGGGGTGTCTTCCTTCCCTCCCTCATTATTTACGGCTGCAATTTTATAGCCTTCCATAAGCCTGTCTTCTATGCATATTCAAACATTTAAATGTATCTTCATCTGCCTTTTGTTTTGCACATGGGAAGCATTTTGAAAATATTTTTCATAAAAAGTGAACACACACACAAAAACACATACAAAAAAACAAGTCTCTGAACCATATGGTTTTGTTTTTATTTTAATTTTTATTATAGGATTTTCTCAAATGTACACAACAACAGGGAGACTGATACAGTGAACCCTTATATACCCATCATTCAGCTTTAATAGTTATCCAATTTTGCTCCACTTATTTCATTTATCACCTACTTACCTTGGTTTTGCTTGATTTTCCTTGGAACTGTAGTATTTTAAAGGCCTTTTAAAAGCCCTACCATTTTTTTTTACTTAAATATATATTGTGATCACCATACATACAGATTTGTCTCATTAGTTTAAATAGAGACATAGAATTTCTGTTATGTGGATATTCCTCCCATACTTTAATCAGTTTCCCTTTGATTAACACTTAGATTGTTTCCAGATTGTTGATATTATAAGCAATGCCACCAAATGCATTCAGTTTTATGGCATTACAGTACTATTTGAGGTGCCCATTCTCCTGCCTGGTCTGTCAGTTATCTGGTAGAATTAGTATTTTTCACCAGCACCTACAAGTTCTGGTAAAGGCTCATATACATTTCTATGTATCTTGATAGGTTAAATGGTTATTTTCTTGTCTTTAATTCAGAAAATGTCTGTTGAACACCTACTGTAATGGAGATACCTGAGTAAGCTCTAGAGATGTGAGAATAACTGGTGGGATAGAAGCTGTTCAAGGAACACATAGTTCAGGAGTGAAAACACTGCACTGCATTTTGCCTTTGTTTTCTTCCTGTATATGTATTGTATCAGCTAGTATTAGATTAATCATGAGTGGCAGGAAATTCAATATAATGGCTTAAACCAGATAGCAGTTCATTTCTGTCTCATGTGAAAATCTGGATGTATGTAGTCCAGAGTAGGAACAGCCTACCACAGTGTCAGGAACTTGAACTCTTTATCTTGTTGTTCTGCCATGTGTATGGTACAAAGTGGCTGCTGTAGCTCCAGCCACCGTGTCTGCATTCCAATCATCAAGAAAGGGGGAAAGGAAAGGATAAGGTCACATCCCCTCTGTTTAGGGAACTATTCCGCAAGTTGCACAAACCACTTTTCGATTACATTCCAAGTTCAGAACTAGTCTCATACCCATCTAGCTGCAAGGGCAGGACGGAAGAGGTTGGGGAGCGGCTGCCGCAGCGTGGGCGGTGAGCTTGTGCGGCTGACCGCAGAGGAGGGTAAAGACGTGAAGCACAGGTGCTTGGGAGCACAGCAGTGGGCCGTGGACATCCGCCTTCAGACACCGTGTCGTGGCGTGTGCAGAGCTGTCCCCGGGAAGGACGCTGCTCACGGGCCGGCGGACAGCGTGTGAGGAGGGTGAGGACGGCCGGAGAGGCCTCGGGGGAGGCTCTGCGCGGCCCGGGACCACGCTCCACCAAAGGACCAGCGCGCTGTAGTGGGACTGCTTGCTTCATGTGGTAAAAATAGCAAGAAAGCCACAAAAGACTTTTAGGGCCATCTCAAAAGGACCCAGGAACCAACTTGGCTAGACAAGGCACAATTTGAGCATCCGTAAGGGGAGCTACAAATAATTGAGCCACTTGAAATTATTTAAATCGGTAAGTTCACTGCAAAACCCCGATGACTTTAGTCACTGTGGAGCTTGTGAGTATCCAATTCATTTTTTTGCAAACTGGTAAATAAGGTGGGGGCAAAATCCAACGTTTGTCTTGCCTTCGGCATGAACGGTAAGTAGCTCAGCGCAGGCAAAGAGTTGATGAGAAGTGTCTCCTCATAAAAGCACTCCAGGTTGAAGAATAAGGAAAGCCCGATGCAACGAGGACATTACCAATCTGCAGCTGCGTATGCAAGGTTTCCTCAGTGACTTGTCAATCGCTGTCACGTCGCAGAGGGAGAGACAGCCCTGCGTGGGGACCTCCCGACGCTCACAGCACGGCCTGTGGGAAAGCAAAGCTGGATCCTGCCGAGGCTCCGGACACTGCGGCCAGGGGCACTCGCTAAGGGACGCCGTGGAGTCCAAGCCGCAGGGCCTCAGCCCTCCTGCAGACAAGGGGACTCAGCGCGAGGGCGGGCGGGCAGCTGTGCAGGCGAGACTCGAGAAGTTTCTCGCCACTTGCTGCGCACGGGCCTCCCTGGGATGCGTTGATCGGCCGCGGCCCCTCCTGGCCTAGGCGACTCTCTGAGCTCCTCTGAGCGTTGGCTCCGGTGGACAGCTGCCTGTCCTTTTCCAACCTCCTGTTTGCATTCCCGAGGGGTGATTGCACTGGCCCGGGCCCTCTTTTTGGTCCAGGCCGCAGGTCAGAGGCCAGCCGACGGACTGCCTGATGAGATCGCCTGGCCGCCTTTGACCTACTCAAGCAGAGGCCCAGGGCCACGGGGACCCCGCTAGAACAGGTGACGTGTGCCGGGGCCTGACACCTGCAAAGGCAACTCGGAGACTGAGAGGGAGGGTTCATAAACTTCTGACCGAACACACTGATTTCTCTCTTTTTTTGGTCTTCACACAGAACTTGAGTGTGCAGGCCAGAGGGGTCTGCCTGAGCCCATCTTGCCAGTGATTTGGGGTGGGAGGCAGGAGGGAGGTCAGGCACGAGTCGGGGATCTGGGCAAGGCCTCTGTGGATCGTGGGGGATTCTCACATTCAGTTGGTGGGCAGAGCTGCCTGGCTGACGCCCCGTCGTCATGGCATGTTCTGGAGTTTGCACTTCGATTCTTCTCCTTATGAACTGGTGCATCTGTGGGCAACTTACTTAACTTCTGTGAACCTCAGTTTCCTAATTTTGTAAAATGGGGATTAGAGTAGTAGGACCTGCCTCATAGGTTGTCCTTGAAGATTTTGAACATTGAGTAAGTTCTAGCATGAAAAAATTGAGGGCAGTTCCTGGCACAGGTGTGTGCGGGAGACCTGGAGCCGGACTTGGTGTCCCAGTTGCTTAGTTCATTCTGCCCTGCAGGAAGGGGCAGGGCCATGCGCCACCCTCCAGGGTGCGAGCGATTCGGAGGGAGCTGAGGGCTGGACTGGGAGAGGAGCTAGAGTCGGAGAGAGGAGAGGCTGGGGAAGGACGGCCACCGTGAAGGGCCCACCTGCGGCGGCAGGTGCTGGCTTGCGGGCGGGAAGGAGAGGTAGGTTCTTACTGGGGAACAATTTCATGGACATTTTCCTACCACTAAATGATAAAACGAGACTAAAGCACGGATCTTCTGCCTTATAGTCTTGGGCTTTTTCTAGAATGTGCTCCTCTCTCCACGTTAGAGAGGCCTGCAGCAGAGGAGGGAGGGAAGCACACCGCCGAGTCCGCGCCATGGCGAGGGTAACGCGCTCTTGCTGTGGTTGCAGAGGAGCCAGCGGCCTTCCGACTCCTGGCTGGGTTGTGCTCAGGGCTTAGAGAGGGGGACGGGGACGGAGCGGAACGGATACAGGGAGAGACATTTCAGAGGAGCTGTCCATGGGGCTTGATGATCCTGAAAGGACAGCAAGCCCAGCCTGTTTCCCGGGTGCTGTCCCCGGCTGACAGCTGCAACGAAAGTCAGACTTCACAGCCTGCTCTGCACAGCCTGCTCCTTGAATCTGGGAGATTTGTCCAGGGTTGGGGTCCCAGGTGAGGACAGAAGCTTCCCGCTCCCCCCAGGGCCAAACATGCCGTCCGGGCAGCGGGCCGGGAGGGGCTGCCCCTCGGCAGCCTCTGGTGAAGGCGATTCTCCCTCCCGTCTATCCGGAGAGCTCCTCATTTCGGGAGCATGCTGGGAGCTTGTTAGGAAGGCAGATTTGTGGGGCCCACCCCCCTCTGAATCAGAGACCCGGGGGTGGGACTAGCACTCTGTCCCAAGGGACCCAGGTGATCATGGCACTAGGGCAGTAGACCGCGGGCTCCTCCGTCTGTGTAGCCGGCCAGGTCTGCCCAGAGTAGCTGCGGGTGGAAATGATCAGAGATGGCGGGAGACCATGCCCGCCAGGAGCCTGGGCCCAGCCCGGCACATCCTAGGCGCCCGCTCCTGGGGGTGGAAACGGTCACTCCAACGGCAGTGTTTGAGGACTGCGTCTTTGGAATCTTTGAGCTTGCCAGGGAGGAGGAGAACCAGGCAGGAGACCCAGGGAGGAGCACGGCAACTGCTGATGTCACAATGCCCCCCAGCCCTGACTCCCAGCTCCTGGGAGCCGTGGGGCAGCGGCAAGAGGATGGCTGGCTGCAGCAAAGAGAGGACCAGGGAGGCCGTGGGATCCTGAGCACAGGGGACAGCCAGAGAAAAAAAATAAGCGTTGGGCAGGGCGACAGCCAAGACATCCACGGAAAGATGGGGAATTACAGGAACCTCTCAGGTAGCAGTCTGGGCTGGAAGGCGGGGTGGGGGAAGGGATGAGGGCACACACCCAGCTTGGAGGAGGTCGCGCCCTCTCAAAAGGACACTCTTTCTGCTGGGTAGAGACCTCCAGAGCCCCAGCACCCTTTCCCTTCTGTGGTTCCCAATCCTGGTTGCCCCCCAGCCCCCCAAGGCTCTGTACAACATACTCATGCCAACACCCCCGCCCTGTCTTGTCCCTGGGATTCTGGTTTACTTTGTCTGTAGCGGGCTTGGGCTCAGGTATATTTATAAGCATGGCCAGGTGATTCCACCATGTGTGGCCAGGCCGCCAACTCTACTTAAATGGGAAAACAAGACAAACTCACTCAAAATATACTCATGTTTCCCCACAGGCGATGGACATGTGGGGCTTAGATTATGATGTCTAATGTGTGGCCTCTTGACAGAAGTAGGACCTAGGGAATGTTAGGCTAGGATCGGTAAACACTGTTTTTATCACTAAGAACATACAGAACCTACAGTGAAGACGGTAATAAAGAGCTGCACAACCAAGAGAAATTTTACAAAGTGATAATTCATATTCAAGTCACTTCGTTAAAAAATAATTCAGAACAAGGAATAAAAGACATCAGTAAATGAAACCAAAAGTTAGTAAGAAAGCTTTTCTTTTCTTTTTTTTTTGAGACAGAGTCTCACTCTGTTCCCTGGGCTAGAGTGAGTGCCGTGGCGTCAGCCTAGCTCACAGCAACCTCAAACTCCTGGGCTCAGGCGATCCTCCTGCATCAGCCTCCCAAGTGGCTGGGACTACAGGCATGTGCCACCATGCCCAGCTAATTTTTCTATTTTTGTAGAGATGGGGTCTCTCGCTCTTGCTCAGGCTGGTCTTGAACTCCTGAGCTCAAGCGATCCTCCTGCCTCAGCCTCCCAGAGTGCTAGGATTACAGGCGTGAGCCACCGTGCTCATCCTAAAAGTTAGTAAGAAACCTTATGGCCAATGAAGGCAGCTTGCCACAGATTGGGGTGGGGACACGAGAAAAGACTTGTTGCTGTGATGAGGAGCCTCCCCCGCCCCAGCTTAGCGAGGGCTGGCGCAGCACCCAGGCACCCACCCAGGCACCCACCCCAGCGCGGTGTTCCCGGAGGCCAGAGCCCGTGGGCCGCTCCCTCCGTGCCGGAAGCTCTTGCTTTGCACTGGCTTGAGCTACATCAGAGTGGCCTGAGAGGGGCAGAGATGCGGAGCAGATGAAGATCGTGGGAAGTCCTAGTTCTTGGGCGCAAATCTAGACTCCGCCACCGGTCGGTTTGCTGACTGGCCTGGGGGCAGGGAGCTGGCTCCTGCCCAGTTGACCTTGTGGGCCTTGAGGTCACAGGCTTCCTCCAGGCCTCCCGCAGGCACTGCCCTCGCTTCCTGCTGAGGTTCCTCAGGGATGTCTTCTACGCGCTCCCCCTGGGACTTGTGCGGGGCACGAAGAGGGCTCCCTCCCACGTCGTACAAAGTTCAGGCCCCGTGAGACCTGGTGCTGCCCCTGCGTGTAGCAATGCCAGGGCACTCTCTCTGCCCTCTGGGTGCCACCACCCTTAGGGCTCTGGAGTCCTCATACCAGCAGCGCATGCCCTCCCGTGACAGGTGGCCCTGGGCCCTGCCTCCTCTTCTCTGATCAGAGTGAGCGCCTCTGGCAGCCACACTGCGTTGGTTAGTGAGTCTGTGTGTCTGTGTTTCTGTGTGTTTGTGATGTGTCTGTGTGTGCCTTTGTGCACGTGTCTGTGTGCGTGTGAATGTGTCGTCGGTGTTGTGAGTGTATTTGTGTGCACCTCTGTGTGCCTGTGTCATTGTGTCTGTGAGCCTGTCTCTCTGTGTGTCTGTATGTGTATGCATGTGCGTGTGTGTTTCTGTGTGTCTCTGTGTTTGGGGGAGCATGCATGAGTCTGTGTGTTGGGGTGTGTGTGCATGGGCCCTCCCGCACCTTCTGGAGCCCCCTGCACCCCCCATGGCTGTGCCTCTGCTCCTGGCCGCCTGTGCGGTCTGCTGGCCGTGGAGCCGAGAGCAGGGACGCCAGGCTGCAGGGCCTTGGGGAGAGAGGGAAAGAGCAGCAGCAGCGGGCAGGGGCCATTCCCTGGGAGATTTTGGCAGAGAAAAGGAGAAAATAGAAGTAAGGGAAGCTTGAGGGTCAAGGGAAGAATTTTCTAGAGGAGGGGAGAGTGGGAGTGTTTGAAAGCGGAAGGGGAGGGCGCAATGCGGAGGGACATTTGGAAAGTGAGGCTGCCTGGAGAGGCAGGAATGTGGGGCAGGAGCCCAGAGAAGGGCAGGGAACCGCCTGGGACCTGTCGCCCAGCTCTCGGCTGCTAATGCCTAGCATCTAGTGCCGCCGTCCAGGAATCAGCTCCGACCCGCAGAGGAGGCAAGCTTGGGAAGGCAGTGAACACGCAAGCTCACCGACGTGACGCAGCCGTTTCCTCGTGTCACTTGTTTGGCTCGTGCGGGGCCACGCCGAGGCCGGGCCTGTCTCCGCCTTTGACAGGCTCGGGCTCTGTCTGGGCACAGACGGCTAGCTCTCACGCCTGAAGCCTTGCCCGGCCCGGCGTCTTCACCCACTGCCTCCCACCCGCATCTCTAGCCCACCCCCAGCCCCACCCTCAAGCTCGCCATCGCTTCACCAGAGAAAAACGAGGCCAGAGAGGCTGGTACCTTGCCCAGGGTCACGCAGCTGGTACATGCCAGAACTGGAACTCAGAACCCACCGCTGCCTGACGCCAGCGTCCGAGCTCTGCACTCCACGCCATACTCCTGTGTGCTGTTGGCTTCCTGGTCCCGCGCTCTGCCTGTCCCCGGCTCGGGCTTGACCTGAGCAGGCTCCTCTTCTGCCCGCCTGCGTGGCCCCGTGGCTGGTTCAGCCGGCTGGTGTGTCTCGCCCCGACTGCCCCCCGCTCCTGGCCGGCCCCTGCCCTGTGTCTTCCCCAGGCTTCTGGGGCTCCCCAGTGCCTGTGTCCTCCAGCCGCCCGTCTCGGGTGACAGGCAGTCACACAGACAGGCAGGAGGCCCCTTGGCAGAGGTGTTGGGAAGGAGGTGCAGAGGGGGCAGCCCAGAGCATCCGGCTTGGGGGGGTCTGCAAGGAAGGGAGAGAAGGCAGGCCAGCTGCAGCATGCCTGGTTGAAACCGGACACCAGGAATTCCTGGCAGGTCAGGCTTGCTGCCTGGGAAATATTTGGCCTACTTTGATTTTCAATTGTCATCATCAGTTTCTAAAGTAAATGTTTGTTTTACCTTTGTACTTCTTAAGGTTTTTAGGAACATGGGAAGGAACGATTTTGTTCTGGTTTTAGACGTTTACTTTTGGCCTTGGAGAGACCGGGCCAACTTGCTGCTGTAATTACAGCCTAAAGGCCAGCGGCTGGTGTGCGGGTCTTCCTTTGCGAGGCGCGGCTGCCTGGGGGGCAACTCCAGGCTTTGCGTCCTCCAGCCTGGCCCCGTGATCCGCGATTTCCATCCGCTCACTAGGCTCCAGCCCACCCTCAGCCCAGGCTCCCCCTGCCGCTAGAGAAGCGCCCACTCCACACCCGCTCCGACAGCCCCGCACGCTCGCTGACACTCAGCACTGCCACACAGTCCTCGTTTCCCTCCTCCTAGCAGTTTTTGTTCCATTTCTGTCCACTTCCTTCCCCTGCTCTGCCATCCTGCCTCCTACAAAATTTTTCTTTTAAAATTTGAAATATACACGAAGTGCACAAAGACATACAGCTTACATCTTTGTGATCTGTCAAAAGCTGGCGACCCATAACAACTCTCCATATCAAGCAACCGGACACTGGTAGCTTCTAGAAGCTCCCTCATACCCCTCCCATCAGTAACCTCCGTCTCTGTTCCTCAGAGGGAGCTATTCTCCTGGATTTATGGAACTCACACCCTTGCTTTATGTGGAGCACACGCAGTGTTCCTAAACCCCGTATTCTGCCTGGTTTGTAATTTTATATGAATAGAGTCATCTTCACGCCTTCGTGCCTGGCTTCCTCCACTCAGCGTCTTTTCTGTGAGATTCGTCCACGCGGCTGCACGTAGGTGTGGGTTATTCTTTCCACTGCTGTGTAGTATTCCATCAGATGACCGTACTGTTGTGGATTTCTCCACTTTACTCTAGGTGGATGTTTGGGTTATTTTATTCAGGGCTATTATAAATAATGCAGTTATACATATTCTTGACGATGCATTTTCATGTTATACTTATCTGAACCCAGCAGTGGAACTGCCAGGTCAAAGGGTGGGGTGGGCATATGTTTGTTCTCAGTACATGATGTCAAACTGTTTTTAATTTACACACCTGCTGCAGTATATGAGGTTCTCATTGTTCTACATTTTAAACAATGTCAGTTTAAAAAACTAGCCATTCTTGCAGGTCTATAGTGGTATCTCATTGTGGTTTTAATGCAAATTTCCTGGAAGTTGAGTATCTTTTCATTTATTTATTTTGCCATTTGGATCTCATGTTTTGTGATGTGCCTATTCAAATCTCTTGACCAATTTTCTTACCAATTATAGTCTTTTTTTGTTTAATTCTGTATGCAAACTTTTTTGGTTATACAAAGTATACAAATCTCCCATTCTGAGTTTGCCTTTCATTTTCTTAATGGTATCTTTTGATGAACAGAAATTCTTAATTTTAAGAAATCTTTTCCTACCCCAAGGGCATAAAGATATTTTCCTATGCTACCGTCTAGAAGCTTTATTGTTTTACTTCAAATATTTAGAACTACAACCCTCTTGGAATTGATTTTTGAATATTGAGAGAGGGTAGGAGCTAAGTGTGATTACCCTTGCATGCTGATATTCAAGTGACCCAGTATCGTTTATTGAAAATTCTGTCCTATACTCACGGGTTTGCAGTGCCAGACAGGAGTGGGTCTTTTCTGGGCTTTCTATTAATATTCTATGTTATTTGTCTATTTATCTATCGTTGTGCCAATACTACACTATCTTAATTACTGTGGCCTTGTTTTGTTAATGGAAAAAACCAAACTCTGTAA